ACTTTTCCAATCTCCTCAAAGTCCAGAAATTTGTCCCCTTTGTGGATCTCTGTACGTTGATCTATTTAACCATGCGTCTTGTACGTGTCGTATCACATATGATATACGCAATCAGTGGTGGGAGGATGTAATTAACTACTTTGACATTAACCTGTGTGTTGAACTGTGTGCCCTTACTGATGATGAACTGTACATGATTCTTCTAGGCCGTAAGCCGAACACCATTCTATCCGCCTTCAACCTCCGAAACTTCCAGTTACGAAACTTTCGCTGCGTTGTCGATGCGTGTGCCTTTTATAAGCGCAATCTTTCCGCACTGCAAATCTGCCAATGAGGGATGCTTCCAGCTCCTTTACTTCTTATTCTCAAAGTTCATTAATAGATTTTTTTTTTCACGCGAGGACATATATATATATACATGTGTATGAAGTAATGATCCCAAATGATTTTGTGATCTAAAACATTGTAAATATATATATATATATATATTTCTTTATATATTTATATGTGGTGTTTGCATGCAATTCATCTATTTATCTCATATGTGATATCATTTTTTGTGTGTTTGTTCAATTTTCATTAATCACTGTAATAGTGGAAATAAAGAATGAATGAATGCACTCTTTTGGGGAGAATTTCTCCACTTTTTAGCATTGGTCAATCAATTACCTTTCACTCCTTAGTTCTAGACACATTCTGTAGCCAATATATATATTTTATCCACCTCCCAAAAATTTGTAGTTGTCTCTACAGGTAATAAACTCGCTTGCAGTGAATTTTTAGTTATCTAACAAATGATTTTAATCAAGCGAGTTTATCACTTGTAGAGAGGACTATAAAGGGTTGGGAGATGGATAAAATACACAGATTAGTTAAATAATGTGTCTAGAATTAGGATTTGAAAGGTAGTTGATTGACCAATGCTGGAAAGTGGAGAAATTCTCCACAAAAGACGCAAAAATATTGCGCCGTAAATTGCACCTTTTTCGCATTACGGGATCTGTACATGCAGCGTTATGGTCAAAGACAAATATTATATAAAACCATAACGCTACAGGTCTGCAGCTAGGAATAAAACAACTGACAAGGAGGAAGTAAACTGACATGACTTACATGTAATCTGTGTTGAATACTTTACATGCAGAAAGAATAACCGAATAGCAAGTGGATAGAGATTAAAAAAATTATATTTCAAGAACTTAAAAAAAAAAATAATAAAATAAAATAAATGAGAGTATTGCATAAGCAATACATGTCCCCTACCGGGTTCCCCTTTTTCTTTGGGGTGTCATTTTATTAGAGCCTGTGTATGAAAAATTGTTACATAAATATGGAAATTTCAGTTATTATTTGAATATAAATGAAATCTTTTGGATCTGCCTTACAAAGAAAGACTCGTGACGTCTTTGAATGCCATTTGACACACACGAATGCCTTGATCAGAACAGCTTACTTTACATGGTTGAACAACAATTTTATACCAGAAAAAATCAAACTTGATCTATATTTGTAACTATAAAGCACAGGCACCTGATGTTACTTATTTTTCTTTTAATAAAAAAAATATACCCTTACCTTATGATAAACCGGGTTTATTGTAAGGTAAGGGTATATTTTTTTATTAAAAGAAAAATAAGTAACATGAGGTGCCTGTACTATAAAGGTATCCAGCAAGTTTCAAATCATGATAATCTTGTTTAGAACATTAATCCAATAGTGCATCACAACATTAATTTAGTGCATCATGAACCCTATTGTAAAACCAAAAATAAAATAAAAATACCAAAATTCCTTTAGAAATCAATGAAGTAGAATGAAATGCAAACTTGATCCATAACTAATCAATTTATAAAAGCTATCAAGCAAGTTTCAGTTTATGACAATCTCGTTTAGAACATAAATTGAGTGCATCACGACATAAATGTAGTGCATCACGAACCCTATATTTAAATTTAAAAAAATAAAAATACCATAATTCTTTCAAAAATCAATTAAGCAGAACAAAATGCAAATTTGATCTGTAACTAATTAAGGTAAAGTCTCGTACTAAAAACCAGCTCAATATCTGCAAGCGTTTAGGAGAAAAGTGCGGAAAACCCTGAAAAATTGAAAAGGCCGTAATTCCGTAAAAAATCATTGAATCGGAACGATATTCAAACTTGATCTGTAACTCATCAAGATACACCCACATACCAAAAATCAGCTCAATATCTGCAAGCATTTAGAAAAAAGTGCGGAAAACCAAGTGGGACAGACTGACAGACAGACGGGGACAGACAGACGGACAGACGCAGAGGAAACCTATAGTCCCCTCCGGTTTCACCGGTAGGGGACTAATAAATATATATTATATATATCTCACACAAACATATACATGTAGACTTCCCGGTAGTTATAAGAGATATGAAACAATATATTAATTTTTCATGTGCAATGTAGCTAAAATACTGTATGTGTTAATTAATTAAATAACATCAACAAAACTTAAAGTAATTAGTCCTTATCACTGCGCAAGTGGAAACACTCAACGGAATTTCCAGTAAGCATCCTCTTCTTTGTACTAAGTACCTTAATTAAGGATTTCCTGTTTTCTATGTTAAGAAGACGTGGATAAAATTCATAAGTTTCTATTGAAAAAGAAATCCTCCAAAAAGGCCAAAAAATCTTTACATGGACGACCGTCACCATTTCAGTATTTCGACAGATGTCCCCCCATTCTGGGTGTTGTACTTGCAGTCAGGGATGGAATCGGACTGATACACGGAGATCTTATACAATCTTCCCTTGGACTCCAACTGTCTGAACACCCACAGTCGTCTGTTGTCCAGTGTGAACCATTTCCCGTCTCTTCTACACACGGTGATTTTCGGAATACTGTCTATCACAGTGCTATCTTCAATACAGGCTTCCAGAGTTCCATATATAGTACGAAAGCCAAACCTAAAATGGTCCTTAATTGTTGCCTGAGAAAAATAGATATCACTTGGTCTCAGTTCCAAAGTCATGTTCAATACTCACTCAGTGTCTTACCCTCTTACGTTCTGTGCACCTCACAACAGCGGACGGGTATTTTGTTGTTATTTACATGTTAAACGTTACTATTTTTAAGAATTACACAATAATTTTTTTCAAATTAATTTTCCAAGAAGATAAAGTGAAAGTACTGGTACTGGATACTGATAGTGAACAAGTTTCCGAAATTAACTAATGCGTCTGATGTATCTATTCAGGTTATATACACCCTTTAAAGATAAAGCAAAGATATATTAATCAATAATAGTATTTCCAGTTAATTTATGTAACAAGAGAAAGTAGAGGGCTTACGGATTGGGGGGGGGGGGGGGTGGGGGTGGGGGTTACAATTACCTCTCAACAGGGTGATGTAATCAGTAACATTAGCCATACAAAAAAAAAAAATGTTCAAATCAATGATTTCTGTTGGAATACCATTGACAAACTCTTCTTGTCTATCACAAAAACAAAAATAGAAAACTTTCAGAGCAGTCTAAAACTCAGGCTTATAAAACGTGATGGGGGGAGAGGAATGTTTGTTCTGTGAAACATGATTTAATTCCGGGTGGTGGGGTGGAAGAGACAGACTGACAGTCTGATTGAAGAGCATACGAGGAGTTATCAGAAAGTTCGCGGACTGAGGCGATAAAATTAATACTATGTGGTCCATGCTCTCAAACTTTATAAGGAACATAAAACAACAAAATATGAAGAAATGTTGAAAATTTTAGCTTGATACGTTTATTATTTGCCAAATTATTATAAAATAAATATGAAATATGATCACCCGGCGCTGTCGCCGTTTAGTTTCATGACGTCCGACAACGTCATTGTTTTTCAATGTCTGATTCTTCTATCTCAAACATGTATATCGCAGAGATTCCTTGGAGTTGAATAAGGACTAAAACCCGTCTTGTTTATAACTTTACAATGTTATAAACAATGGCTTTCAATGCATAAAATGGATTTATGCATTGGGAAAGATCCTCGCTTCGTTATATCAGCAGATTTTACGTTTGGGGGTTTAATATCCACAACACATGATCAACGTCTTTTTTTGACGTTATTGGCTTTTCGAACCTTGACTACAATTGAACATTTATAATACCTGTGCACCACTTTTCTCTCTGAATCTATTTTGGTATTAAAAAAACAAGTACTCTGGATGCATTTTATTTCTCTGTAGCCAGTTTAAACATTTCCTCTATCTATACCAGTTTTTCAGGGGCATAACTTTATAGAATGTTGGAAAAAGAACCCTCTCCCTCTCTTTGACGTCATTTTCAAGCCCTTAATTGTTTGGACACTTCTTACAAATTCACTATAAAATGTTATAGAATTTATATTATGAGGTAAAAATTGCACATACCTAATTTAACTGAAGTTTTAGACGTCAAATGTTCGTGACAAAAGAGCTTTTTCTCAGCAACACCAAGATCGAAAAAGCGTCATGTTCGAGGTTGCGCCGCCTGGACATTATTAGAAATAAAATTCATGATTTTTGGTTTATTCTATAAATAGAAAAGATGATGCTTACTAAATATTTTAAAATTTATTGATGTACCTAAACGAGTTTTAATTTCATGGCGCCAGTCCACGAGCTTTTTGATACCCCCTCGTAACTCTCAACATATTCCCCATTTCCATAAAAAAATTTATTGTTAATGCCATAAATGTGGATAATCATGCAGAAAGTTGTAGTATATGTAATTTGCATATAAAGTTAGTGTATGTTTATGGATAAATGACAAACTATCATTTAGCTGCTCAAACAAGCTCCTCGTCAGAGAAAAAAAGCACAACACAGTTCATTTGAATAAAAATATTTTTATCAAAATTGCATCATAGTACAAAAATATGTATAAATAATATAAAAATATATGAAAATACACATCACTAACCGAGACATAGGTTAACAATAACAACATTTTCCTGTTCTCAATAAATCAATCATTTTCTTACATAGATTAATATTTGTTCAAAATCTCAAAAAACTCCCAAAGCTGTCCTTGGAATATTACTACAAAAAGTTGGAATGTTTGTATAGCTTGATATTTATTGTTATATTGCTATCACACAAATGAAAAGGGAATTATAGTGAGCAATAACCCTCCAGTGTCATCACAGCATATATTTTATCATTTTCCACAATCAAACAGCACTATTCACTATCCTCTCACACTCAAAAACATTCATTCAAAAAACTTCCTAAATTTATGGCAAGCAACATGTTCACATTAAGCAAACTCCCCTCCCCTCTAACAGTTGTGATAACTCTCAGAAACAAACATGAGTGAGGCATAATATTTTAACTTTCCTCTGACAAAAATTAACATTTCTCATACAGTTTTCTTGTTAACTCTTTTCCTAATTAATTTTTTTCCTCTATGTGTTGTGAAATCAGTATGCTTGGAACATGAAGCTATGTGAAAACAAGGATTTCCAGTCAAGTCAAGATGGGTAGACTCTCCTCGCTTTTAAAAATTTAATTTCATAGCCACTCTTTAAAAGTCTTTTGACATCACTGAACTATGTGCATAGCTGAAAGTCAAAAGAACCTTGAATAAGTCTGTATTCTAAATTTAAGTTAAAGGCTTGTTACAATTTCTTAACTGACATTTAAATTAATAATTGCCATCAATCAGATAGAAATCACACTTACTTGTTCTTGCTTGCATTGAATCTTTGTAGCTGAAAAAGCAAAAATAATGATACAGAAATGTGCACAACACTTCCGAAAAGTTTACAAATTCAAAACAGTATACATGAATCTATTACTGTAAACCAACTTTCATCTGTAAAAGAGATACATCCACAAGGTTTGTAGCCTTTATTTTTTTGTAAAAAATTCTGATGAATGAATTATTTGTCTAGTTATGAAAATTAGCATACTATGGATTCCAATCTGAAGAATTGTGAATGAGGATGTTGGTTTAAAGTATTGTTTGAATATATATATGAAGAGATAATCTTTTTGTTTAGCATTTGTACAAAATTTAATATGGAAAAAATGTTTCCTTTCTCCAATCCAGTAACTTTTAAAATGCTCTTGACTTACTCATTATAAAGGACATTCACAGCGAAAATCAGGATGACGATGATGACGAACATGAAGATGGCAAAGGCCACGAGGACCCACCAGAAAGCTGACCAGCCCTCTAATGTCTTAGTGGTGGCTGGCTCGCAGGGCTGAAAGATGAAACAAGACCTTGGTACAATGGGCATATAAATCAAATCATTATTTTTTTGAAGCTGTTCAATAAAAAGCACAACAGAAAAGCTGAACAATGCCATAAAACCAAGGTCTCACACAGCAGATAAATACGCTTTTTGTCAATAAAAGCACGGATATCTGAATCACCAGGCTAACATTTAAAAATTTCGTAAAAATCGTCCGGATACTGAAGCATCCGGATATCTGGCGTTACTGAAGGTCCCTGTATTTTGAATAAAAGCACATGTAGTTCATTTGTAAATTAGACAGGACTTAGTAGGTAGTTGCTGACTGGACGTCACCTAGGGCTGCTGTTCCATCATAGGAATCCACAACACGATTATTTCTCACAACAAAGAAACAGATATCTATCCTGAAAGAAGAATAACAGCTTTTAACACTATGATTTTAAAGTAAAAATTCTTCACACTCAATCTTACACTGTCTTCATAATATACTTGTGTATAAAACTTAATATGTTATAACTGTAAGTATGTTTCATCTTTTAAAAATAGGAACAGTCAGAAAACAAAAACTTTACCACTCTATAAACTAAGTGTTAACATATGTATAAGTATATATTTTTCAAATACATATTTATTTCTTGAGGATATTGGGGTAAAATTTACATAAGTCAACATTTATTTTTCAGGAAATGAAAGGGAAATAACTGACATATCAAATATTAACTATGAGTGTTTATACACAATGATAAAACATAAATTATGATTGGTACACAATAAATCATTATCTTACTGGTTAGCACTGGTGCCCGTGGCTGTCACGTGGTAGCGAGTGTCTGTAGGAATGTACAGCACAGAAGCAGGATTGCTGTTTAAACTCCTGAAAAAAGTATATGCTGACATTAAAAATATTTCACCACATTCCTACATTGTGTTGTTTAAAATCATATTCATAAACAATAAAAGTGCTTTAGCCATCTTTTGATTTTACAAGCCCAAATGAATAAAAAGGATAAGCAAATGAAGTAATTATACCGATTCTTTCATTTCTACATTAACATTGAATTACATACATGTCATGACCTCAATGACACTTTCAGAAGCAGCAATGAAAAGATGGGTTATTTTTCATGACTCACGTGTGCACCATTACTGACCTTTCTAGCTCATCTACAAACTTCTGCTGGTCACTATTTAAATTTGAAGCCATCACAACTCGAACCTGACTGGATTTCTCTCCAATGTAAATCTAAACAGGGTAGACCAAGCATGTAAGTGATACATTCTCCCATCAAGAAAATATGTGGGCACTTCTGCACAAACTTTGTGAACATTTTAAATTAAATATTTTTTCAGACTGAGAGAACAATAAATGAGTTTCATTTATACTGTAGATCACTAATTTTTGCAACACCTATTTACGCGAGA